TTAAACTTAAGTGACCAGAAAGTGGAAGATCTAAAAATAAATAAAGTTAAGTGCTTTCTTTGCAGATTAATCTTGCTACTCAAGTGTGAAATCTTCCCCCCTTCCTCCCATGCATTCTTTAAATTTTCAAGTTCCATACCACGGAATTTCAGGTGCTTCATTGCTGACTACATTAGTCATTCTGGACTCATGCTGGTTTTGTCCTTGAGGGTAGAAATACACACTAAAGATATGTAAGTTGTTTGCCCTTTTATTGATTTTAGTAGTCAATTACCTCAATACTGTAATGCCTTGGAAAGCTTTGTGCAAAGGGCTTGTCATCATTCAGCTTTCCTGGAAGATAGGTATGTCTAGACCAGTGTTTGTTGCTCTTGGGAAGCTCCATTCATGCAGTCTTCAAGTTTGTGCTAAATCAACTAGTTTCCTAATATTTGTAATAAAGCTGTTTAGGACTGGCTTATATTGCTCTAATTTTAGCAAATTAAATCCCTCTGCTGTGGAGTAAGAGGGAGGGAGCTCATGCCTAAATTATGTGTTCTGTCCACTTTTGCAGACAGCAAAGCATCGCATGTGCAGGACATGGCAGAACCAGGAGCTGGTGAAGGGTCTGCAAGTCCCATTGCGCTGCCATAGCAATGTGGTACAATTCTGGTCTGCAAATGTAAAGCTGGCTTTAAATTTGTCAGTGTTGTTTAGTTCAGAAATCTCTTGTCTATGCTACATGAAAAAGGAATTTAACTTGCATATTCATGTTATTAGCTCAAATGATATGTCAGAAATGGGGAAGCAGGAATTCATTACTCTGGAGGCACCAAATCCTGATGCCCTAAAAACTGTCATGCATCTTTTGGTGGTTTGTGTTCCCTGCTGCTTATACGATCCCATGCTTTCTATTTACATACCTGTGATTCTTACGGTTTAGGCCTTACTTTAACATCTTCCTGAAGTAAAAGCAGCATTTTTTTCTAGTTAAGTAGCAGGGTGGGCTTTTTTCATTTCAGTAAAAAATTATATAGGGGAAGATAGTGGTTGTACAACATCGAAATGCAGCATACCCATGTACAAAGAAATGAACAGCCTACAAAACTTCTTGAAAATCTTCCCTTGCTGTCATGCTTCACAAGCTCTCCAAAATGCATAGTGAGTAACAAAGACCTCTCCCTGCTGTGTCTATATTTTTGTTCGCTGCTTTACATGCTATTTTCAGATGTGCACATAGAAAAGGAAGCTAACTGTTTTCAAAGTGTTGTCCATGATGACTTAGTGTTTATTCAACTACTTACATCTTGTTGGCTGAGATAAATTTCACCTGAGGCCGGCATCTGCTCACTAATTTGTCACCTTTTCTTTTTCATGCCCTTAAGCAGTTTTGACACCAGAGGCTTTGCAAGCTCCATCTCAGGAAGCACCAGCAGCAATACAAAACGCAAGGAAACCAATGTGAACTGAAGCTTAGTGAAAATAGAGTTGTGTAATATGGCACTGGTTAGTGGCTGGATGACAGCCATCCTTGATGACATAAATTTAGTGGTATGCGTAACTGCAAAGAACAAAGGAGTTAATCAGCAACAATACTGTATATAAGAAGTGTTACTGTGTGTAAATACATATTAAAGTTGTTGCCATAAGCTTGTGATAGAGAGTCAGTGTGCTGTGGTTTAGTCTCCTAATATTCCTTTCGGAAAAACTTTTATTATTAATTTTACGTTTGTTTTCTGGGTTGTTAAGCGTCAGGAAATCTGAGAAATGCGTCCGGCAGTCAAATAATTGCCCTGGTTGAAAATGCTTGCAGCTTTTTACAGAAAAGAAAATATCATCCAGATGATGAATAAAACCAACTCCTCCTCACATAAATGAAGCACAACAATAAATTATATTGTGTTTCGCTTCTGTTCTCCATTTTTTAAGTTACAATATGATGTGGAAACGCAGCTCTTTTCCTCTCAGCTTTATAGAACTTATTAAAGAAGTGGCAGACTTTTTTTTACTAATCATTAGCAGGATACAGCTTGTGTTTTGCCTTTAAGGTGCTTCGTTCTAACTTTTGTACCCCCACACTGCAGAGAATTGCAATGTGCTGGCATTGCAGAAGTGAATAGGGAACTCTTCCATGTATCCTGCTTCCTCCTGTGTCGCCCAAGTGTGCCGGTCTGTACTTTTGACCTGGGGGTTTCATCCAGCAGTCAAACTGGAGGCTTTTTTCCAGAGATGGAGGAAGATAAGCTAGTAGGAACAGACCAGTACTTAGATTAACATGAACACGATCCTGTGACACATGCAACGGTTTTGTGATACTGTGGCTAATGCATGTGCTTTCCTTTTTACACAGGTTTGGGCAATCTTTAGTACGCACTTAGCTATGCAGGACTCTGTTTGCAAACACGAGAGTGTCGGTCCTTTTGCTTGAAGTCACTTTGAAGTGACCTCCTCCCGCATCCTTGCTCCTCCTGCTGTCAGTGCGCTGAGCAAAGATTGTCTCAGACAGGTGTAGGAGGCTGTCCTGTGGGCCTGCTGTAGTTGTTCTTGAGGGCATGGCTCAAAGCGGCCTACCTGCAGACAGCGGGGTGTATGTGTGTGTGCACACACGTGTATGTGTGGCATGCATATGCCAAGAAGCTGAGCTCTAATTTCCTCTGGAAAAGGTGGACCCAGCTTCTTGCTCCTCTCAGTCCCCTTTTGGGTTATCTTTGTCATTTATAATGTCATTTTCATGCTTATTTTTAGTTCCTAGCCTTTCTCTGTTGAACTGTTCTTACATTTTAATTGGCTAAATCAGGAGACTTGTAGCTGATTAATGTTTCCCCTCTGCAGCTGGATCATCTAGAATAGGCATAAACCTTTCCATGCCTCATTTACTTCCAGTTCCTTTTCAGACAGACATGCACTGTTCCTGGACCTTCCTGTCTTTCCTCACCTGCTGTCAGTTTTTGTTGTACCTCTTGCTGGATGAATTGTTGTTCCAGCTGTGCATTTGCATTTGATGATTTTATCATCATCATCATCATACATAATCAGAAATTATGTATGAAACCTTCCTAAATCAGCAGTAATGACAGCAATACTCAGGTGACAGCTTTTGGCAGGTAGATTCTTACCTGAATTGGGTTTACAGTTTCAGTACTGCTCCCTGCTGAAGGAGGGTGTTCAACAAACACGTAACAAGATGGACTTCCATAGCTGGCATGTTTGATGTTGAGGAATGAAATAAGATGACTATAATTTTTTTTTTTCCTGCATAGATGAAAAAAACCACTACGAGTCAGGCTGTTATGAAATAGCTCTCCCTGCTCCTTTCTGTACTGTACTTTATCCTATGGATGAAATAAATGTCAGTTTTGATGTGCCCCGTCTATCGTTCATCCCAAATGCTAATGGTTTTATTGTCATGATTTCCCTCTGTCCCAGCAGATCAAGATTAGAGATGATTTACTATGGTTACAGATAGTTTAAATGATTAGAGGTCATTTACTACTGGCAAATTGCATCTGGTTTCTTCTGAGATATGAGGGCAACAGAGTGCCTTGTTCTACTTTATGCATTTGCATAAAATATGATCATCAACTGATGTCTTTATGATATACTTTTCAGAGTATGGGGTGTTGAAGTTTGCACACTGTCATACCAGTTTGCTGGGAGAAGTTCCTTCACACTGAAAAAACCAATATGGTTATAATTAAGTGGGGGATTAGGTTTTAGCCTTTGCATTTGCACTTCAATTCAAAAAAGTGTTGTTCTCTGTCTAAGACTGTGCATAGCTGTAACCAGCATTTGTGAAGCTGGTGCATTCTCTAATCCCGTGGGAAAGTGCCAAACTTGTCAGTTTTTATAAATTGCTGTCTTTATGACAGGAAACTGGGAGGGGAAGGGTCTTGTATCTGAATGGAACAGCAAGGAGAAAATGGGGACGTAAGGACAGATGTGTCCCCAAGTCACTATTCTCTATGGTGGAAGCAACGCCCAGAGCAAGGGTCTTGATGAAAGATTGGATGTGAGCCATGAGAACTCTATAAGCATCCGGTAAATGTTTTGGCGGGGTGAGAAGACCTCCTGGAGGACAATTAAAAACTAGGCAGGCTTTTTTTGCTTTGTTTTGTTTCTGTTCAGCACTGTCTAAACATAGCAACTATTTTTATATATTTGTTGGTGGTAGTAAAAAGTATTCTTTACTTTTAACTGAACACATCATCTGTTGAGAATGATTTGAGGATGAATGGCAAGCCATTGTCAACATGGTAGTGAGTCATAAACGGGGGTTCAGTCATGCTTGTAGCATCCGGCACCCTCAGACGAGATTGGGATTCCTAGATGGTTCCTAGATGGTCCATCCCTGAGCAGCACAGGCTGGCTTAAGAGCTCATAATGCAGAACGTACCTCCTGGTCCAAGCATCCCTGACAGGCTGCAGCCTGTGAGTAGGTGCCTAAACCTTAGCTTCCACCGAGTTTGTATTCATGCTCACAGTTGACTTCATGATGTGACATATCATTTGATATGACCAGGAGTATTGTGGCATGTGTCTGAAGGGCTGTAACTCATGCAAGTGCTTCCAGTTGCCTTTGCTTATTCTATAAAAGTGATAGGCTAAAGGCCAAAAGTTCAAGCCCAATACAAGATATTTAACATGATGCCAAAAGAGCAGTAAAAACACATAGTTTGTCTAAATCCAATAGTTTTAAAATTCAAAACATTATAGAATAAAATTTTTTAAATGTTCTGAAGTTTACATTGTAGGTTTTGGTTTTTACTTCTAGAAAACAGCTCAGTTATAATCGGTAATTGCAGCGGTCAGAGCAAGTACTTTGTTCTATGTGTTAAATAGCTTGATGAAATGGGAAGGAGGAAGCTGGTTGATGGACACAACTTAGTCCTTTGGCAAGGCCGGTAAAGCTCAGATGTTTCCTATGCAGCAGATGCTTTAACTGAATGTCATGAATTGCTTTTGTAAAGCACACCTTCTAATAGATGTCACTCTTCTGTTTCCCCCCACTCTTTTGCAGCAAGTGACGGGCAGAAGTTTTGGTGAGAAAGATTTTCGTTCTGGATTAGAAAACGGCATTCTTCTGTGTGAGTAAGTAACACTTCTAGTTTTGAGCCTTGAATACAATCTTGACTAAAACGGAAATGAACTTCAACTAGTATGTCCGATTGTTGGTTTCCTTCTGCAAGCTTTGACATTGTGCATGCTGGTATTTCACTGCAGCATCATTTCAGTGCCAAAGCTATTGTTATGGTGAGGATTGAAATGTGGCTTAAAGAAAACAGGTTTTGCAAAGTGCTTCCCTCACTCCACCCCAGGTCCTTAGTTGAATTATGTAAAGTAAAAATGATGTTTGCTTTTTGGTTTCCTTTTATTTAAAGATGTTAACCACAGATTGGCAAATGGTGTTCCACACCTGCCTGCAGACGTCTCTGCTACAGTGAGGCGTTTTGGACCGACTCCAGGTCCGAGCGCTGTCAAGACTTAGCCATCTGAATACTATCAATACTCAGCTGCTTTTATAGTTTCTGGAAAGGTTAGGCATCCTCTAAATTTTACCTAAAGGTGTATTTGAATGATGCGTTTTGTAATTTTTGGACAAGAGATGCAAGTTAGCTTTCGCACATTTCTCTCTGGTTTTAATAGCCAGTTTTTAGGCAGAGTCTTCCAAAAGCATGTTGAGGCCTTAGATGCCAAAGCTGGTGACTTTTAAGAGCAATTTGGAAGTATGCCCTAATGCCTGTAGTTCTTTGAAAATCCTATGCAGGATGTCAGGAGTTTGGGATCTGAATCACCTGTATGGACCGATATCTTTCCCTGGGTATGCAGGGTTGTCACTGAAGGTGGTAAAAGCTGTCTTTGCACACCAGAAGGATGAAGCTTGTGCAGAACTGAATGCATATTAAAATTTATAAAAGAGATCTCCTGAGATGTTTAGCTGGGCCATTGCAGCGGTTAAGTTTTATAGAATCATAGAATCGTTCAGGTTGGAAAAGACCTTTAAGATCATCAAGTCCAACCATCAACCCAGCACTGCCAAGTCCACCACCAAACCATGTCCCTAAGCACCACATCTACCCGGCCTTCAAATACCTCCAGGGATGGGGACTCAACCACTTCCCTGGGCAGCCTGTTCCAGTGCCTGACTGGAATTTTCAGCACTATGAAAGGTACTGGAACTTGGAAACTGTTTTTAGCGGTAGAGCTGAGCTAATATCGTGTAACTCAGTTCTAGGTAGCTTATGGTAGCTTTGAAACCTACCTGTGTAATTACTGTTGTATATCTCACTGGTGTCATTAATCAGACAGCTTGAACTTTAGCTGTTAAAGGGGAAAAAACCATAAAGGAAATGATATGATCTGGTTTGATTGTAGTTGCATGTCTTTGCTGAGGAGTGGCTTTGGGAGGAGGGAAGTAGTTGTTATTGTTGATCAAAAGTTGTATAACTCGGAAGGAGCATGTAGTTTACCCCTTTGTATTTAAGGGTTGCCTCTTGCACAAGATCTCTCTGCTCTGTGTGTTCAAGGGAAGTACCGTGTGCTGAATCATTTCACAGTGCTCTTTAAATGTTAAGGTTGAATTGTGTTGCATGAAAAATAAGGGATGTGTGTTTTGAGATTAGATTGTAATCTTATCTGCAAGTAAGCAGAGGTAGTCTGATTTAAATGCTGTAGATCTTTAAGATGTAAAGCTTAACTAACTAATGTTTTGCTAATGAAATGCATAAATGTGTATTTCTTAAGGGGCTGTGAGCTCCAGTAATAAGTAGGTCAAGGGACACCACTTGGTTATGCTACTAAATTGCTCTGTGATTTTGGGCAAATTGCTTGTCTTTGTTTACCACCTGTGGATCAGTGCAAACCAATCTGAAGGGATCTGTCTCCTCAACCTCAAATCTGAGAGGCCGTGGTGTTTGTATTGCATCCTGCTCCTGGCAGCTGTGGCTCACGGATAAAACTCTATAGGCTGCAGAGCATTAACCAGAGCGCTACCAATTTGACCTTCAAGTTTGGCTTTCTGATGATGAATAAATTATGAGGCCAACAACAGAAGTGTGCTCCTCACTGGTTCTGAGTCCACTGTAAAATAAAGAACTCAACAGAAATTTGGGGTGTAACACTGAGAGCTCTGAATGTATCTTCATAAAGTACAGGTTTTGGCAGGTGAAGCACTACCAGTTAATTTTTTATCTCTTGCTCAGTGAAGAAGTGCTAGTGAAACTGCCACAGGCAATATTGTATCTAGACAGGAGTTTTCTGGTTTATCAGAGACCTACCTAGGTGTCTCATGAACCAAATCTAGCGGTATTTAAGCTCTCTCTCAGCCTCTTTCCAGTCTGTTGTGCTTTCATCACAGCTGACCTCAACAAGTAGATGACAATCTGATCTCAAAGTCTCTGATAAGCTACCAAAGGCAAGAAAGAAATTATAGCTGTCTTAAGTTTCTGAAGATGGATGAATTCATTGCCTTGAAATTTTGCAGAGAAACTAAACTTGCCTCAGTTTTTATCTCCACAGGACAGTACTCACTGCTAGTGTCATTAATTGGCAGCTCATAGCCAGACACTTGGGTGGGTGATGTCCACGTAAGCGTGGAATGGTGCTTACTTCCACATGGCTGTTTCAGTGTTTTCCTTGCCTGTTGTATTTTGTGATGAGGCCTGAAAGCGAACTGGGGTCCTGAGGGATCCCACCAGCCAGAGGACTGGAAACTGATGTCAGGAATGGGGACACAGCCAGTATGCCCTGAGTCCCCCAAACGTGTCTCAAGCCACCCTCTGACTTTGCAGGCGTTTTGCAGAAGGGAGGGGGTAGGGGGTAGCTGCCATGCCAGAGTCCATTCCCCAAACAGTCAGACAAGCCACGTGCAAAATGACACAGGGGAAATCTTTGTCTGTGTCTGGAGTAAGACTGTTGGAGCTTTAGGCACAGTAATGCCAGGCCTCCCCCGCAGTTGATCCCGCTGTCTGTGGCCTACACATCCTGCAAACTCAGGCAGACATCACTATACCGGTTATAAATGATCCATTCACGTCTAGCAACTATCCACATATTTTAATAAATGACAACTATGTGATGCCAAAAGCTTGGACTCTTGGGAAGGAGACGGGATGTGGACCACCAGCCTGACTAGCAGAGCAGCCCTGCACACATGTGCTAGCCGCAGACACTCTCAAGCCTCGTGCCTGCCTCCCTGGTAGTGCTTACGCTGCGGCTAGCATCTAGATCTGGCCTCACTTCGACACTTTTATTGCTTGCCATGCTCAACTTGGGAGCTGAGGAGCATATTTAAACAATGCAGGATGCCATAAAGCAGCAGGCTGACAGATGAGAGTAACACAAGCCCTTCCTTCTTTCTGGATATTTGAAAGCCCGCTTGTGCAGTTGTCCTGACAGTGCCAGCTATACTTGTTCACCCAGCTGTGCTGAAAAGCCAGTGACTATGACTTCTGTTTGTCTGAAGTAAGTTCATGGCTTTTAGCATAGCTGTCTGACATCAGTGCAGATGGTGATTTCAGCAAGGGACATCATAGCTAGGTGAAGGCAATTCTTGCTCTGTTTTTGCTTTGTGTGTTAAATTCTCATATGCAAAGACAGAGGAGTTTCCTGGCTACACTTCTGCATGGGCAGGCAAATGTGCCCTCCTGGGGACATGGTGGAAAGCTGTATGAGACAGGAATACACCACCAGTAGCCGGAAATATCACTAGAAATCCCCAATTTCCGCTCCAGCACATGTTCTTTTTTTTTTTTTTTTCTTGTTACGTAGCTTTAACATTTAGGTTTGACCCAGATATCATAAGAAGCTAGAGGATTAATCAGGAATAAATGAAATCTGGTTGTTGCAATGCTTAGGTGTTGCTATTCTATGGATTCAGACATTTGAATGAAGGTTGATTGCAAAAGAAAAAGTATATGCTGTCTCCATCCACCTGCCCCACTGATTTGGGTACTTCTGTTGCTTTTCTGAAACAGCAGATAAGGAAGTTGAAGTCGCTTCTATTTCTAACCATGCAGCAATTGCTATTAATAAGTTTAAAAATTACTACGTGAAGACAAAAATGCATACACCTTCCTGCAACCTTGCCCAGTTGTTTCTGCTCTAATATTCTTGCAAGTGTGTTTTTAAGGTGAGCAGTTCCTTTCCGATCTCCTTGCCATCCACCTCCCCTTGCCCAGCTCTTCTACTGCAGGATTCCTTCTTTCACATTGGGCATTCAGCAGTTAGAGAGGTCTCTGTGGGGATGTGAGACTTGGAAAATCCATGTTATTTACTTGCTTTGATACGACTATGCAAGGGTGATACATATCCAAGATATTTGTAAGCATTTCTGACATGCAATTGGGATCATATTTTTCTCTCAAGCTTTAGCTGGAATCAAGCAGTACTAGGAGTCCAGTCACCCTGAAAGTTTGTATTACTAGTAATGAGAGTCTAATGTCAGGAATAGGAGCAAACCATAAAGAAGAGTAGCAACAACAGTTGGGACGTGGATCCTGGGCAAAGGACTTTAAACAACAAACTCAAACCGAATCCAGATTTACGTATCAGCAGAAATGATTTGGCTTTGTGGTGGAGTCCAACAGCGCCATGATTGTGTGTAAGACCTTGCGTTCTGCACATAGAGCAGTTTAGCTGTGTGTCTGTTTTATGTATGTATGTAAATCAATTCATAGCAGTAAATGCAGGCATAATAAATCTTTGATTTTTCTCAAGCTTGAAAGTTCTAACAAACATTTAACTGCATACCTTGAGAAGTCATGGCATAAACATAGAAAAGTGAAAGAGGAATAACTATATGGGGTTAAAGATGGATGTCACTTGCATATACAGTTCTGGATACCAATTTATGAGTACTTTCCCAAACTTTTCTTTGTTTCTTAGAGACACTTATTTTGTATATTAGCACATGATGTTACGTAGCTTAGTAAGATACGCAGAAACTATACTTACTGTTTGAAACCAGGATTCTTTGACTCTGTAACTTTTTCTTTTATTTTTTGAAAGAGCAGATAGAAAGGTATTTTGTTGCTTTTAAGTAATCTTGGTAAAATTGGGTATGTACAGTGAATTAAGGAAAAAGTTTTACA